CTCTAGCTTCTTCAGTTCTGTCTTTGATTACCAACAGTGTCTTTGGCCATGTTCTTCATAGCATTTATCTATACATTTTTTTTTGCAAATTTTAAAATTTCCAATAACTCTTTGGTTTTTCAAAACTCCCCAGGTTTTTCATACAACCTTTTGTTTGTTTCATTTTATGGATACAGTAACCTCTTAAACCTTTTTGATGATAGTAGTTAGAATTGCCTCCCAAATTCTCTTTCCCCAAAGCATCATTCTTTCTTCTAGGATCAGCTGTCATTTTGTTCACCTTGCCCCTTCTCATTTTCACTGTCGTCTTCCACAAATGTGTTGGTTGTCCATCCATCCTTATGAAAAAGGGCGTGTGGGCTCATCAGGCAGAGGAAGGGGTTTTCTCTGCTGCCTTGGGGCAGCTGTGTGTCCCAAGCTGATTGGTGGGTTCTGGTTATGCCTGACAGCGTGGGGTCCATGGTGCACTTCCGTTCCGTCCCTCATGGTCAGAGCACTTTTACTCGCCGTTCGCTTATTTTTGTCTGCGATTGTGCGAAGGTCTGGGACCCCCAATCTGCCCCCTTCTCCTTCAGGCATCAGCACTCCCATCCGGAGGCCCCACCCTTCCACGAGGACTGCTCACTCTCTCTGTCTCACGGTGCTGGCAGTGGGGACACCACTGGCCCGCTCGGCATGAAGGCGCCCCTTAGCTTGCACTCCCCAGCTGCCCGTTGGAGCCTGGAACCACCCATCTTTATGGCAGCTCTCCTGCTCTGGTTAAGCTGCAACCCCCCAAAATGAGACCTGGGCTGGGTCACCAGTAAGTAGGGTCATGCAATATCGGAAAAGATTTAGTTCCTTCTCTGACCGTGTATTTTCTTCCCCTGGCCCAAGCCCAAACTCGATATTAAGATCATCAGATTCCCAACATTTTATTATTGTATGGAAGGCAGTCAACATTCCAAAACTGGCACCACCCCCCAAACCAGAAATAACGTAAGACCCTCTCCCAGCAGTAATTTCCTATCCAGTTGCGCCCTCGGTCCTGTTAGCACATAGCACCAGCTTCAATGGTCTCATTTGTGTGTTTATCTTCTGACTCCTTCACCTGCACTGCAGTGGGAGGCCCCTGGAGGGAGGGCGTTGTGCTGCCCCGACCCCCCCATCTCCAGAGCACTAATCAGGCCTGGGCAACATGGCAGACTCAATAATGACAGTAAATGACAAAACAAGCAAAGCAGAAAGATACCCAAATCATTAAATTGGTTGGTAAAAACGAAAAGCCAGCATTGTCACACAGTTAGACATTAGAATATTTGAAATATGGACTGCGTTATGACTGTATACTAGAAAATCAACAGAAACATCCAAACAGCTATTCCAACTAACAAGAGCTCAGCAAGATGGCTGGATATGATACATGAATTAGCAACTTTCTATTTCCTACCAATTGGATGATATACTATACACCCCCCCAAAACCCCCAAAAGATTAGTCTCACAAGTCACCAAAAAATATAAACAGAATGGATTAATAAGGCAGATATGGGAGCTACGTGAAGAAACACGTTAAACTCTACTGAGGGATATAAACAAATTTGAATACATTGGGAAAGAATTGTGTTCCATGATGAGAAACTCAATATCGTAAAAATTCAGTTCCTCCACAATTAATTGATAGAGTAAAAACGATGACAATTAGAGTCACAATTTTGAGGGGAAAGGAGAAGGTTTTGAGT